AGCAAATTTTTCCACTTAAAGTTATGAATATAGGTCCTTTTTAGGGTAGCCCCCATGCATCTCCCAAATTTCCGGAGTAACCCTCCTCTGTACGGTCTGGTTTTCTATACACAGATCCAAGATGGAAGAAGGTATATGGGGGCTGGCGTCTACTGCGGACTGGGGGGCTGGCCTCTACTGCGTAAGGCTAGGCCTTGAGTTAACCTACAAGCTGGATAGCAACTGTAGTGTTTTCCAAGCTGAAATCTGCGCGATTTGGTGGAAGGCAGCGGAATTGATAAATCGGTGACTATCTTTGTGGATAGTTAAGCGTCTCTTTAAGCCATCAAATCTTGTTATATAAAATCTGAGGCCGTCTTCAAGTGTAGTGCAGCTTAGGAAGAACTTACTTACAGCTATCGGCTGTGTTGGGTACCAGGACACCGTGACATCATCATTGGTAATGCAAGTGCAGACGAATTAGCTAAACGAGGATCTTAATCTACAGATCTAGCAATTCATGGCTCAATCAAACGACCCATATTTCAACTTTATCGGAGGCGTTCTTCGACAAAAGAGCCTATGAACTTTGGAAAACGAACCTAGGTGCAATGTGTCAAGATCTATTTGGCCAACTTTGTCTACTAAAAAGAACACACTCAGGTTACAGGTCACTACTGCAATATCAGGGCCTTTACAAGTAAATGGGACCATGATGCTACTGATTACTGTAGACGTATACAATTTAGCATATCCTGTGTCGCTGCACAGTCCTGGCTTACAAACGGCACATACTAGTGGCTGCTCATTTTCCACCCGAGTCTTTCTTCTCAACAACGGAACCTGATCTAATCTACAGAAACCTAAAGTGGTTGCGAAAGTGCAACCTTGACACGTAATATATCTTCTGTCCGATCCCTATAGCCATAGACACTATCTCATACTTACCTTCTTACACTTCCTTATAAGCTTCTCATCTCTCTTCATCTCCCCTTCTCTCCCCTATAGATCTCTCCTTTTCTGTTTTTTTTTTCGTGGATGATCACAATGGACCTGACGGTCTCAGAGTGCTGTAGCCACATAAGTGACTGCACATCCCCTAACCTAAGCAAACCTAACTTGGTGACAGAACCAGATTGAATTTAAACAGGAAAACTATGTATATTCATATAAACTGCTACAACAACAATAACAATCAACATTTGTTCAAGTTATAGGTGAGATACCATCGTCCAATATGTGCCGAAAATAATATCAAAAGAATCAAAACTTGCAACAGTTTGTGGTTTGAAACCACAAAATGGATAACCCTGTATATTTTGTTTTAATGAGCATCATCATTAACAGTTTACTTTATTTTTTTATGGCATCATCATAAAAACCAAAATCCACAAATCAGTCAGTTTGCCCTCATAAATTGTGAATGTTTATTTCTATTTTTTTTTTTCAAATCATTTTACATACATTTTGAATATCTTCATCTTCAAATAGTGAAATTATTGTACATGGTCTTCTTCCCTAATTAATATTTTTTCGTGTACATCCATAGTCCAAATTTGTATGTTGGCTATCCATCCAACTTTCATTCCAATTTAGAAATTAGACAAAAAAGTACTCCTTGTTCGAAAATGATGTTTTCATTGGAAATCATGTTATACAAAACTGAAAAATAAAAAAAAAATTAAATACAAATCAAATACTACAAGCTCGTAAAAAATAATACATGTCATATTTTGTTTTTTGAAAATATTTTATGCGTTTTATGGTTCATCCATTAAAATTATGACTTGTGTAATTTGATATACCTTTCGTTTGGCGCGAACCCCCAAACTCACGCACAGGAGGGGGTATTTTTATTTTTTTGTTGTAAACATTCTTTTCTTTTCATGTGGTTTTATGTGATTCTAAATATCCATAGAAAACACGTTAAAAACCTAAGATTTTGTTTCTTTTTTTTTGTGATAAAGAAAATATTACAATTATGACTGGCGCTTCCAAAACCCACAAGCAGGCAGCCAGCGCCACACACCCCCACATTTTGTTGTTTCTTTTTGTCTTTTATTCTATTTTTTTATAACAATAATTGGAGTTATGGAGAAAGTAACCAGTCAATCGAACACATCTCAACACAATGTGTAATAAAAAAAACCCCGAATCATAATCACGACTTGTTAATATTTTAAACCAAACAAATGAATAGAGGGGAAAATGTTTATTATGAAGACAATGTTGTCTCGTGTAATTTTTTTTTATAGAAGTGAGATTTTATTACTATTTAAATATTCAAAAAAATATAAAATTCATTTTGGGTATTCTCTCCATTGTTAATAATAATTAACATTTGTTGTAATTTTATTAATAAAAAATGAATTTTTATTGTTTTCTTGTTAACATATTTTGTTCGCCCCGATGAATAAATAGCAGCAATAAAATATTGGACAATGTCCAAAATTTTAACATCTTTCATTAAATACCAGTAGCCAGAGTCACAGTCGAGATAATTTCTTTGTCAATACAATTCAAAGGAAATTATCACACCTTTTTAGAGGATTATGAAGAGGTCGGTCATTGGAAATAAAAAAACAGGTTAGGTTTAGGTTTTCTGGATGTGCAGTCACATATGTGGCTGCAGCACTCTGAGACCGTCAGGTCCATTGTGATTGATAATCCACGAGAAGAAAAAGATATAAAGAGATCTATGGGGGAGAAAAGAATATAAAGAGAGATGAGAAGCTTACAAGAAAATGTAATAGGGTAAGTTTGAAATAGTATCGATGGCTACAGGGATCGGACAGAAGATATATTACGTGTCAAGGTTGCACTTTCCCTAAACACTTTAGGTTTCTAATTATGCTGTAGATTAGAGCAGGTTCAGTTGTTGAGAAGAAGCTTAGAAGCTTAGCGGTGGAAAATGAGCACCCACTAGTTTGTGCCGTCTGATATTACTCATTTTTTCAGCTTTGCTCATGTTCAACTGTGAGTGTGTCCTTTTGATAGACAGAGACGGCCAAATAGATCTTGACACATTGCACCTAGGTTCGTTGTGCCAATGCTCATACGTCCGAGAACGCCTCAAAGTTCCGATAAAGATGATATATGGGTGCTTTGATTGAGCCATCAATTGCTAGATCGGTAGATTGAGATCCTCGTCTAACTAATTCGTTTGCTCTTTCATTACCCATGATGGTGTCACGGTGTCCTGGTACCCAACACAGCCGATAGCTGTGAGTAACTTCTTCCAAAGCTGTTCTACACTTGAGGTCGGCCTCAAATTTGATGTAAAAGGATTTGATGGCTTTAAGAGCCGCTTGACTATCCACAATGATAGTCACAGGTTCAACGATCTCTGCATCCAGACTTTTTATCAATTCCGTTGCCTTCCACAAATCGCAAAGATTTCAGCTTGGATTACACTACAGTTGCTATCCAGCTTGTAGGTTAACTCAAGGCCTAGCCTTTCACATTAGACGCAAGTCCCTGTACCTTCTTCCATCTTGGATCCGTCTGTATAGAAAGCCAGACCGTCCAGAGGAGGAGGAGAATAACGACATCTATAGTCATCTATAGTCGCTTAGTTTTACACGTTGGTCCAATATCATACCAGGTTCGTTCAAGATACAACCATGTCCAGAGGTTTTGTTCATGCAGCCCTAGGGCGCTACGTGCGGTCTGACACTTAATGCTTAGGCCCAGAGGCTTTAAGGATGCAGCTACTTCCACTGGCTGCAACCAAAGATATTCAGGATAAAGAAACGTTGGTAACGATTTATAAGACCATAGGTCGTTCCATCCTTAATAATGCTGCCCCAGTCTCGACTTCTTTCCTTAGAGACACACAATGGAGATCCTTGCAAACAACCAAAATAATGCACTCCGAATTACAACAGGCTGTGTCCAGATGACGAGCGTCGATCACCTCCATGAGGAGACCATCGGACATCAACAGATTGTTCGCAGACGACACTGGAACCGCATAGCTTGCCACAGACCGACCTATCGCTTTGTATAAGAGGTCAACAAGGTTTCCGTGCTGCCGGCAAGCAATTTGAGAACCATTGTTCCTAATTTTCAAGTTATCGCAAATAGCTGTGGTTTGCGCGGACAATATAAACATACTGTAGAATGTGACCCCGAGAATTTGGGGGTAGTTGGTGGTCGGATCTGTACATTCAACGGCATTCGCACCTCCGCAGTCCATGTGGTGAATAATGTGGCTGATGACTTCGCGTGTACCTCGCAAATTTCGCCATGCTTGGAAGTTTGGACACGTTTTTCAACAAGATTGATTGTAATTTGGTTTTTTTTTTGATTTTCACAACGTAGTAAATTACCCTACCATAAAGTATACATATGGGTCCACTTTTTTAGGTTAGCCCCCAATATGAGGGTAACTCCCACATTTCGGTATTTTTAGAATTTTTGATATGGTTTCAATCGAATTGACTAAAATTTGGTAATTTGTATTCTCATTTCATACTATATCTTCCTGCAGAAAATTATCGATAGAGATAGATCTAAATCTGAACCGATTTTTCCCAATTTCCATAGAGTTCGTCCTTGGGCCAAATAAGTGACCTATGCCAAATTTCACCCAATTCGGATTATAAATGCGACACTGTACATTGTTTACAATTTAACGCCGAAAGAAGGACAGACGTACGGACCAGCATAAATCGACTCAGTGAAAGTGATTCTATGCATATTCTCAAAAGGAACTATGTGTCTATTTCGTTTCCTTTTGCATTGTTACAAACATATGCACAAAGGCATAATACCATCCCCCATATACCACAGTGGGGTGAAGGGTATACAAATGTTCGTCCCAACCGAACATAACGAAGTTTTTTTATTTTTTTCAATTAATCTGCCTTTACATGTTCTACCCTATTTTAATATCAAAAAATATTTTTGCAAAAACCAAAAACCACCAACAACAATACTGTGATCCGAAACGACCTCCCGAGTCTTACTCCTCAACCACAAGGATCAACAAACTTCAACTAATTTAGCCATTTTGAACAATGCCTTCCATATGTAAATTTGAAAACCATGAATTTAGACTTTGAAGAACCTCGACATACCTGCTAAACAACCTACCTACATATCTCGTTTCCACGTTAAATAGGTATACGATCCGAAACGACCCGAGTCTTTCTCGGCCAAACGTCTGTCACCTTAGCATATTGTGTAAAGGCAATAGGGCTGCTACAACAACAACCTACCTATCTACCGCGGAACACTCTTCGATACTCAGTATTTCATTCATTACAAAATCCTGGTCTGGTCTTTGGTAATTTTCAAAAAAAAAATAATGTTTTTTTAACTAATCGAATGCATTTTTATTTTAGTTATGAATATTCTGAATCATTCCAAAACAACAACAACATCAACTACTGTTACACATCACATGCAACGAGAAAAACCGCCGGATTTTGTGGACAACAAGAACAAAAGCACCGACTCCAACAATTGCTCAGTAGTTGTAGTTAAGAAAATCAACCCTGAAAATGTCAGCGACATTCACAAACAACAACAACAAAAGACAACCAGTATTTGGCATTATTTAACTTCATCAGTAGCATTATTAACCACATCATCGACAGAGGCATCAACATCTTCAATACCGCCATCAGCAGCATTGTTGTCCAGTTGTAGTAGCAGCTGCTGTCATAATGGTGGGAATAGTGAAATAAATGTAATTTTAAATCAAAACAACAACAACAACGAGACTACCAGCAGTATTTCGAGTGGGAGGGAAAAGAATCACTGCCCAGCTTCTCCAACTCCTCCTTCTCGGTTAATATCAGCATCATCGCAATCATCATCTTTATCATCATCGATTTTAACAAGACTGGATGCGAATACATCATCAAAATCAAATCAAATTATTAATAAAACGATGAATTTGAATTTCAATAATGCTTCCAAAACGAAAATACGACGACAAGGACGAGGACGACGAAGAACAAAAATTATAAATTCCGAGCAAAACGAGCAACAAAATTGTTGTTATACTCCTCGAAGAACAGAAGAGCTGACCACGACCACCATGACCACCACCATTATGATGAATAGTAAAACTTTGGAAAACATTGCTGCAACCTTGAAATTGGTTTTAAGCAAGGCTGCCACAGGCTCTATATTCTTACCACAAGCTCTATATTATACAACAACAACGGCGGCAGCAGCAGCAGCATCACGAACAAGGTTGGCAGCAGCATCACGATCATTAAATAATTGTTCAAAATCAAGGATTTCATCAGCAGCAAAACATCGACGATATGAACAGCCATATGCATCGAATTTAAATAAGGCTACCGACACAACAACTTCGCCACAGCAGCTAACACTATTATCACAATCACCACCAGCATCATCACCACCATCACTAGCATCATTCTTGCCATCACCATCACCACCCTTGAGGCCACACAATTTTATTGAAACAAATTCCAAACAAAAATCCTGCCACGAACAACAAGCCACAGCATTTAATTACCGCAGTCATACAACAATGCCCTCTAACAATAAGGCAAAGGCGAAATCACCACCCAGCAGATCTATTCCCAAATCCCTGAAATCTCTTGGAGGCTATATCATTCAACCATCACTATCCCCATCGTCTCTAATCCTAAGTATTTTAGTTCTAACATCACTACACCTGACCAGTGTGGCTGGCGATCAGGTGATACTCTTGGATACAACACGTGAAGCCACCCTTGAATGGACCCGTTTTCCCTACGGACCTCAAGCGCAAACACCCGGTTGGGTTGAAGAAAGTTTTACCGATTTCGATAAGGGTATTAATTGGCGCAGCTATGTGGTCTGTGATGTCGCCTATCACAATGTCAACAATTGGCTGTGGTCACCCTTTATCGATCGTGGTCCCGCCAATCGCCTCTACATTGAAATACAATTTACCATACGAGACTGTTCGCTATTTCCCGGCAATGCCCTATCGTGTAAGGAAACCTTCAGCTTGTTGTACTACGAATTCGATGCCGCCACCCGGGAACCACCACCATGGCAAACGGATAGCTATAAACTGATTGCCCGCATTGCAGCCGGTGAGGGGCGTTTTAATCAAAATTCGGACGTCGATATTAATTCGGAAGTGAAAAGTATTGCTGTGACCAAGAAGGGGGTCTATTTTGCCTTTCGCGATCAGGGGGCCTGCATCAGTGTGCTGGCCGTCAAGGTTTACTATATTACCTGCCCGGCTGTCACCGAAAACCTGGCCCATTTCAATGAGACCCCCACGGGACGTGAAATTACCATATTGGAGAAGCAGAATGGCACCTGTGTCGACAATGCCGAACCCTATGAACAGCCCACCTATCTATGTAAAGGTGATGGCAAATGGTCCATATTGACGGGTGGCTGTCGCTGCAAGGGTGGCTATGAACCGGACAATGCCAACAAAACATGCATTGAATGTCCGGTGGGTACCTTCCGTTCGGCGGAGGTTAGCAAATGTGTAGCCTGTCCACCAAATTCGAATGCCTCCAAGGCGGGATCCAGCTATTGTAAATGTTTGCCAGGATTTAATCGCCATCCGCGGGATGGTAAACACATGCCATGCCATAAACCCCCTGGCCCACCCACAAATCTGACACTACTCTTCGTGGATCACATCAGTGCAATATTATCATGGAATGCTCCGGTGCGTGAGGCATCGGCTGCCGACTCCAACTCCATATATCGTAGTGATATTGTTTATAAAGTTGTTTGCTCCTCGTGTTCTTCTAATGTGGTTCTCACGCCCAACACAGACACCTTTAATGACACCAAACTCACCTTGACCAATTTGGAACCGTTGACCACGTACACCATACAAATACACTCCATGAATGGGGTGTCTTATTTTGTGGACAATGGCACGGCGGATAGTGAGAGGGCCAGCAAAACTGGTGGTGGCAATGATTCATTTAGTTCGGAGGAAAACACTGCAGGTGGTGGTAAACATCATGATAATGATGTACCGCTAATGCCAGGACCAACATCGTCCACTATCGCTCACAACGTTGCAGCAGCGGCTGGTGCACATATTCCACCCATAGACCTAAGTCAAATCAAGACTGAATGGGATGAGATCACCTTTACCACTACGGAGTCAGCCATATTGTCGACCGTCAGCAATGTACGCATTGTCCTGGCCACCAGCAATGAAGTCGATTTGGTGTGGGAGAAACCCGTGCAAAGTGATGCACCCATCGAATTTTATGAGGTCCGTTGGTTTCCCAAGCCAGATTTTGATGCCATTAATAAGACTTCGCTGACCACCAAGGAAACAAAGGCCCATGTTGAGGGTCTCAATGATAATACGGAGTATGGGTTCCAGGTGCGTTATAAGACCATCAATGGCTATGGGACGTACAGTAACATTGTCTATGCCCACACCCAACCCGGAGTGGGTTCCTCCGTCTACGAAGAGAATTTACAAATGCGCATTGTGGCCGGTGCTACTGTGGCAGTGGTGGTCATTTTGGTACTCGTCATCATAGCCACTGTGGTATTTTTACGCTCCAAAAATCAGGATGATTTGGATAAAAAGTCCAGCAATCACATGCCACTGCCATTGGATTATGCCAGCAATGAGGGCCAGGTGGTGACCTATATACATGCTATGGATACCACACCGATTGTCAAGACCATACAGTCGAATGTTACCACCCCGCTGTTTGGTAACAGCCGCAGCTATGTGGATCCCCACACCTATGAAGATCCCAATCAGGCCATAAGGGAATTCGCTCGAGAGATCGATGCCAACTACATCACCATAGAGGCGATTATTGGTGGCGGGGAATTTGGTGATGTTTGTCGAGGCCGCTTGAAAATACCACCCAACTTTGTTCAGGACATTGATGTGGCCATAAAGACCCTCAAGCCGGGCTCATCGGAAAAGGCACGCTGTGACTTCCTGACCGAGGCCTCGATAATGGGTCAATTTGATCATCCCAATGTTATATACCTGCAGGGTGTGGTTACCAGATCGAATCCGGTGATGATCATCACCGAGTACATGGAGAATGGTAGCTTGGATACCTTCCTGAGGGTTAATGATGGCAAATTCCAGACACTGCAGCTGATTGTTATGCTGCGCGGCATTGCCAGTGGCATGGCCTATTTGAGTGAAATGAATTATGTACATCGTGACTTGGCGGCCCGCAATGTCCTCGTCAACTCCCAGCTGATATGTAAAATTGCCGATTTTGGTCTATCGCGGGAAATTGAAAATGCCAGCGATGCGTACACGACACGAGGTGGTAAAATTCCCGTACGCTGGACCGCCCCCGAGGCTATTGCATTTAGGAAATTCACATCGGCCTCGGATGTGTGGTCGTACGGGGTGGTATTGTGGGAGGTTATGTCGTATGGTGAACGTCCCTATTGGAATTGGTCGAATCAGGATGTTATTAAGAGTATTGAAAAGGGTTATAGGCTGCCGGCACCCATGGACTGTCCGGAGGCTTTGTATCAGCTAATGTTGGATTGCTGGCAAAAGCAGAGGACCCATCGACCTTCCTTCGCCAGTATTGTATCGACATTGGACAATTTGGCAAGGCAGCCGCAGGCCTTGCTTACGACACGTAATTCGCCGGAAAATGATGGAGGGGTCGGCGGAGGTCATCTTATGGACAGCCAGAGGGGTCATAACATATTCATTAGCACCGATATGTGGTTGGATAACATTAAGATGTCACGATATTCGCAGCATTTTAAAGAGGCCAACCTGGTGACGGCTCAACAGATCTCAAGATTAACGGCTCAACAGCTCTCCGATATGGGTATAACATTGGTGGGGCATCAAAAGAAAATCTTACATCAGGCCAGGCAATTGGACACCATAATTTAGCAATTTTATTAAGAAAAAAAGAGAAATGAGAAAAACAAATTATATAATAAAAAATATATTACATATACATATATAGAATATATAAAAACAAATAATTATGATTATTGTATGCTGCAACAATTTTGCAATTAACAGAAAAAGAAACAACTTTTTTTTTCAGTATGTACATATTATACATAAATAAATTATATACATATATATAATTTTTTTACCCATAATTATATTTAAAAAAATTATAATATTTTTTGTCATAAAAAATAGTAATATATAACAGAAACGAAAGAAAAATCAGACACAAACACACATCTCTTTATATATTCATAATAAAAAATAATTTAAGAAACACACACACACCAGAGATATAGAACTTAATTAATGCTATATTCGGCAGGGCCGAATTTAGTATACCCTCCACCAACAAATATTCATATTTAAAAAAAAATAATAATACACTCGATAAATGACAATTACAACAAAAAAATATGCAGAAATGAATATAATCAAAAAAGAAAAGAAAACAAATATTGAAATCGTATTTTATTTAATTTTGTTTTAAATTTATATTGCAAGCAGTATTTAATTTTTCCTTGATCGTTACTTTTATTTCTCCTTTTTTTAATTATAATTACTATTCAATATTTTTCTGTCTGCTACTTCATCTTCTTGACGATAATGATGATTGTAAACAAATGTAAATTTTAGTGAACATATTTTTTTGAATATTAGTTTTTCGTATTTTTAATTAATTTTTAATGACATGAGATTTTAAGTTTATTTTTTATTATTATTGATTTTATTCAGTCATGTTTTTGCATGTTTTTTTATACATATATTTTTTTGACTACAATTTTTTTTTTGATTTATTTTTTTAGTTTTTTTTTTTCTAAGAAAATCAATAAAATATAATTTTATGAAATAATAAAAATATATATATAAAGATTTTTTTTTAATTATATTATGTTTTTTTTATTTATTTGGTATGGAGGGAATTTTCAATATTTATATACTTTTTTTAATTTTTCAAAAAAAGTAAACTTCAAAGCAAAATTCATATATATATTTTATTTGAAATTTGATGCAAATGAAAAACATGAAATTTATATATTTTTTGAAAAATTAACATTTTTTTTATTTTAAAAAAAATTTTGAATATTTTTTTATACCCTTCACCACACTGTGGTACAGGGTATTATGTCTTTGTGCATATGTTTGTGTAACAGGCAAAAGGAAACGAGATTGACACATGGTTCCTTTTGAGAATATGCATATCACTTTCTGAGTCAATTTATGTATGTCCGTCCGTCCGTCTGTTGATGTTAAATTGCAAGCAAAGTGCAGATCGCATTTATCATCCGATTTGGATGAAATTTGGCACAGCTCATTTATTTGGCCCAAGGAAGAACCCTATTAAAATTGGGAAAAATCGGTTCAGATTTAGATATAGCTCCCATATATAATTTCGTCCGATTTAAGTAAATTGTGCACCAAAGTCCCTATATATCTTTCGATTTGCACGATTTGTCTAGAGTGATGTGTGTAAAGTTTCGTGAAAATCGGTTCAGATTTAGATATAGCTCCCACATATACTCTTGTCCCATTTAATGTAAATGGTGCGCCAAAGTCCCTAAATATCTCGTTCAATTTGTTCTTTCGAAAAGGCGACGTCTGTTAGGAGACTATGTAGAATATACCCAAAGTGGTGAAGGGTGTCATATAGTCGTCCCAGTTCGTCTTTACTACTTTCCTTACTGGTACTATTTTTAAAAAGTGTATATATTTTTTATTTAAAAAATGTCTATTTTTTTATTTTATAATTTTATATATTTTTTAATTTGATAATTTTACCAAAAATTATCAATAACGGTCCATTTTTAAGAGTAGCCTCCAAATAAGGGTACCTACGAATTTCGATATTTTCGGGGAGTTTGGACACTTTTTCAACTAGTTTGGCTATAATTTGGCATTTTGGTTCATTGTTGGGTGTCAAATTACCCTACCAAAAATTATCAATATTGGTCAACTTTTTAGGATAGCCCCCATAGAAGGGTACTTCTAAAATGTGGGATTTTTAGGGAGTTTGACGTCGTTTTTCAATCGAACGGACTGAAATTTGGTATTTTGGGTTCTCATTGGGTAGAAAATCTTTTTACCAAAAATTGTCAATATTGGTTTACTTTTTAAGGTAGCCTCCATATAAGAGTACCTCCCAAATTTCGATATTTTGTAAAATTTGGCGGTTTTCAATCAAATTGTTTGTAATTTGGTATTTTGGGTTTTCATTGGGTAGAAAATCTCCCTACCAAAAATTATCAAAATTGGGTCACTTTTTAAGGTAGTCTCCATATAAGGGTAACTCCCTCATTTCGATATTTTGGGAAATTTGGCGCGGCTTTCAACCAAATTGGCTGTAATTTGGTATTTTGGGTTCTCATTGGGTAGCAAATCTTTTTACCAAAAAATATCAAAATTTTTAGGGTGGCCCTTTTTCCCAAATGTCGATATTTTGGGAAATTTTTGGCGGTTTTCAACCAAATTGTTTGTAATTTGTTATTTTGGATTATCATTGGGTAGCAAATCCCTCATTTCGATATTTTGGTAAATTTGGCGCGGTTTCCAATCAAATTGGCTGTAATTTGATATTTTGGGCAGCAAGTGTTCATACCAAAAATTATGAGTATTCAAATCTTTTTATTTTCACATTTTAAAATTTGATTTATTTATTTTTTATTATTGTTTTTTTATTTTTTTAATTTAATCAAGAAATTTAAAAGTATATTAATCAATTATAACAAAATAACATATAGACGGGTATTAATAAAAAAATAATCTAAATGTCTTCGAAATTTTATAAATAAAAATAATAAAAGGCTACAATACAAAAATATGCATACCATACATAAAAAAAAACAAAAAGAATAAAACCGTACTCTCTTTGGTACAAAATTTATGAATTTCGTCGGAGCAAAATTACATAGTCATGTGTATATATGTATATGTGACTAAATAATATATATATATATATAAATACATAATATAAAATATTATTACAAAAAATCAACATTAAAAAAATTCAAAAAATAAGAAACTTTGGCGAAATAAAAAAATGGAAAATCTTATTAGTAGGCAGCTATTTAAATATAACTGGATGTACCTTAAATTAATTAAGCTTAAACAAATCTCAAAAAAAGAAATACAAACACCAATATTCAAAATGAAAAAAAAAAACAAAATAAATTCTTATTCCAATTTTTTATCTATACGTATATTACAAAACAAAATCATGCATGAGAAAAAATTAAAATAAATAAAATTACTTTTTTGTTGGAGATGATCATCCCATAAAATACATAACTTGCATATATACATATATATAAATTCATACATACATACATCTATACATAATTTTTTTATATAGCAACAAAAAAATGAACATTTGAGAAACATGAATCAAACAAAATTATTTGTTTTTGGCATAATAAAAAGAAATACAAAGAAAGAAATTATAGCTACACACACCCCCGTCCTTGGTGGAGGGTATACTATTTAAAAATATTAAAAAAAAATAAATAATAAAGTCGCTTGAAAGTAATTCAAATTTTTTCGAATTTATTTATATTGCAAAACATTTTTCTGAAGTAATTTTTTTATTTGTTAAAAAATCTACACTACTGCAGATTTGGTTTTTTGTATTCAATAAATACAATTTTCGTTTAGTTTTTGACTAAGGGTACCTCCCTAATGTCGGTATATTGGGAAAATTAATCATAATTTTCAACCGAATTGAATGCAATTTGGTATTTTAGGTTCTCATTTCGTAGTAAATCATCCTACCAAATATTATCAATATTGGTCCACTTTTAAGGGTAGTCCCCATAGAAGGGTATCTACCAAATTTCGATATTTTGGGTACGTTTTACAATCGAATTGGCTGTAATTTGATATTATGAATTCTCAATGGGTGTTAAACCTTCCTACCCAAACTCAATAATGTATCTCGAAAATTTTGGAATTTTAGGGAGTTTGACCTCATTTTTTAATCGAATAGACTGAAATTTGATATTTTGGATTCTCATTGGGTGTCAAACTTTCCTACAAAAAATTATCAATATCGATACAATTTTTTTTGGATAGCCCCCACTGAAGGGTAACTCTAAAATGTCGGATTTTTAGGGAGTTTGACCTGTTTTTTAATCGAATAGACTGCAATTTGATATTTTGGATTCTTAATATTGGTACACTTCAAAGGCTAGCCCCCATAGAAGGGTACCTCTCAATTTTTTTTCTTAAATTTTGGGATTTTTAACAATTTTTTATTTTGAAAAAATTTTGAATATTTTTTTGAAAAATTTGGAATATTTTTTTAATTTGACAAGCTTGGATTTGTCAAAAAAAAAGGAAAGGATTTTATTTAAACTTTTTTCTACAGATTTTGGATTTAAAAAAATCGAAAGGATGTTTTTTAATATTTTTCTACAGATTTTGGATTTTTTTTAATGATTTTATTTTTCAAAGATTTAATTTTTTCTCAAATGTTGGATTTAATTTTTTTTTTTAATTTTGATTTCTTTTTTCAAAAACAAACATCAGTAGTGGTGTAGATTTAAACCAAAACATTATCGTTTTTTTTTTTGTTTGACTAAAGCCTTTTATATGCTACCTTTTTTAAATAAAAATAATAAATAAAAATAAATAATGCAAAAAATAAATAAAATAATTTTTATAAAAAAAAAATAAACAAAATCTGTTACAGTTGTATAAATAATACCCTACAAACTAATGAACAAATTGGTAAACTAATATAAAAAAATTAAAAACTAAAAAAACAAAAACGATAACCGCAACAAAAAAGCAATAGTTATGAGTTCTACTTACTATCCATCTTCTAAACAACAACAAAACACAACAACAAAGAAATAAATAAAAAATATTAAAAAACACAGTTAAATGCTTACAGTATACAACAAATAAAAAATCTTATAAGAAAATAAAAACTTCTATATATAAAAAAAATAGTTAAAAAA